GTATTAGCCCCGATGCCTGAGAACCTAAAGCTGGTCACCCTGGAGACCTCTGCTCTCCACTTGCACACGGAACTGAGTTGGTCAGCTGCACTTAGGAAGCCAAGCTCATCCTCCCCATGGGTTGAGGAGGGGTGGTGAGGGGTACCATATATCCCACTGCACTGAGGGCTCAAGCTGGCTGGGATTGAGTTCTGGAACCACCCTCTCTTGCACCCCACATGGGCCAGTCACTGTTGAGTCCTTTCTCAAGGAAGACTGTAACTGTTAGTACCCAAGTCATTGTGGGTCTGCTAGGTTCAGTGATGGCACCTTCATACTCTTATCCAGTTAAAAGTCGTAGCTGGCAGAGGGGAGGCCTGCAGCATTAGGCCACTCTTGCCTACAGCCATTTTAGAGACTCCATCAAATACTTCCGTGAGACCAGCTTTCATGAACTTCAAGCGGGGACTCCGGGCCTAGCGCACTACATGCACTGCCTTTGGGAGTGGGCTTGCTCCTTTCCCCATACGGACCCTGTTAGTGTGAGGCTTCTTGGGTAGACTCAGCAGGAGTGGCCCTGTCCAGTCCTTTCCTTCCCGTCTTGGCATCAGTTGTTTTCTATGAAAACAGTGGGTTGGTTTTGTGCAGGGTCTTGGGTTAGAACCACAATGGATTTGAGGAGTTTTTTCTTTTGGTTTTGTATATTTTGTACATTAATAATAAACAGTGGAAAGAGAAGCAGCTTATTTAATCCCTGCTGTGTTTTGACTCTTGCTTTTTGTTTGTTTGGGGTTTTTTTGTTTGTTTTTCAAGACGGGGTTTCTCTGTACTGTTTTGGAACTTGCTCTGTAGACCAGGCTGGCCTGGAACTCACAGAGATCCGCCTACCTCTGCCTCCCGAGTGCTGGGATTAAAGGCGTGCACCACCAATGCCCAGTTTGTTTGTTTTTAAGACAGAATTACTCTTGTGTTACAGCTCTGGCTGTCCTGGAACTCACTTTGTAGGCTAGTCTGACTTTAAACTTGACATCTGCCTCCTGAGTGCTGGGATTAATGGCATGCACCACCACTTCCTGGCTTCTTAAAAAACATTTCTCTATTTATTCTTATTATATGTGCATTGGGGTTTTGTCTTCATTTCATGTATGTGTAGGTGAAGGTTTCAGGTCCCCTGAACTGGAGTTAACTGGAGTTAGACAGCTGTGAGCCACCATGTGGGTGTTCGGAATTGAACCCAGCTCTTAAACACTGAGCCATTTCTCCAGCCTGTGCTGGCTGGTTTTAAGTCAACTTGACCCAAGCTAGAGTCATCAGAGGAGGAAGCCTCAATTGAGAAAATACCTCCGTAAGACCAAGCTGGCCAGTGGTGGTGGTGCACACCTTTATGTCCAGAGGAAGAGACAGGCAGAGTTTGAGGTCAGCCTGGTCTGTAGAGTGAATTCCAAGACAGGACTACACAGAGAAACCCTGTCTTGAGGGGAAAAAAATCCAGCTGTAGGCAAGTCAGGGCATTTTCTCAATTAGTGTTTGCCAGGACATTGTGTGTGGCGCCATCCCTTAGCTGATGGTCCTAGGTCCTACAAGAAGGCAGGCTGAAATGCCAGGTGGTGCTTTAATCCCAGCACTCTGGAGGCAGAGGCAGGTGGATCTCTGAATTTGAGGCCAGCCTGGTCTACAAAGAGTTCCAGGACCACCAGGGGTGTTACACAGGGAAAAACCCCCTTGGTGTGTGTAGGGCGTAGGGTGGGGTGAGCAAGCCAGTAATCAATACTCCCCCTGTGGCCTCTGTCAGCTCCTGCCATTTGACTTTCTTCAAGGATGGGCTGGCTAGGTAAAGCCAAATAAACTCTCTCCTCCTCAAGATGCTTTTAGTCATTATGTTTCATCACAGCAATAGAACCGCTGACTAGAACAATCCGATCCTCTTCTGACCAACACAGGCACCAGGCATATGTGTGATGCACATAATTATGAGTATAAAAGAAAAAGTTGCTTTGCCAAGCCTGAACTCCATGTGGTGGATGAGAGAAAGTCTCCGTCAACTGTCCTCTGACCTCCATACACTTGCCAGCATGCAGGAGGCAGAATCAGGCAGGTTTCTCAGAGGCCATCCTGGTCTACATGGAGTTTCAGGCCAGCCAGAGCTTTACAATGAGACCCTGTTTCAAAACAAGGTTACCACTTCCCCAATTACACCCCCCCCCCAGCTGATGGAACAGGATTTAAGAGACAGAAGGACCTTGGAGGGTACACAGACTTGGGGAAGGAGGATAATCTGGGATGTAAGCAGCAGAATGATGGTTCTGGTTGCTGTGTGTCCATCGGACCCATCCAAGGGCCTGATGTAGCCAAGTTTCACAGGATCCTGAGACTGCATTCCTACCAAGTTTGCAGGTGTCTTGAGTGTTATTTCCAGTATCGGCCACACGAGGGCAGTAACCACAAGCACCATGGCTAAAAGCTATCCTCTCCCACCGTGGGAATCAACCAGCCTGTGGTTACAGCTCTCCTTGTATCTCTTCAAGACTTGATCACTTCTTCTCCCCGTCTCCTACAAGCCCAAGACTCTAAAGAGCACTCAGTGAGCTGGGCGACGGTGGCGCATGCCTTTAATCCCAGTACTCGGGAGGTAGAGACAGGCGGATCACTGTGAGTTCGAAGGCAGCCTGGTCGACAGAGAAGAGTTCTAGGACAGCCTCCAAAACAATCCAGAGAAACACTGTCTCGAAAGACAAACAAACAGAAAAGCGCCCAATGTTTTCCCTTTTTTTTTTTTATGAGACCGGGTTTCTCTGTATTGTTTTGGAGGCTGTTCCCCACCTTACTTAAGGTCAAGGGGTGCTGACTGAGTGAGTACGTGCTTCTATACCACCGGTTGGCTTCCATTCTCAGCGCCTATCAGGTGGCTCCCAGCTTGAATTCCAGCTCCAGAGAATCCAACACTCTCCCCTGGCCTTTGCACCTCCCCACACCCCTACGCCAACATGTGTGTGCTCATGCGCAGATACGTGCGCCCCACAGGCACATACATGTGCATGTCTCGAGTGTCAGGGGTGGAACTGTTTGAAGAGACTCTGAGGGTTAAGGGGTGTGACCTTGTTGGAGGAAGCCTGTCACAGTTTTGAGCCTTCCTATTGCTGGTGGATTAGGATGTAGCTCTCAACTGCTCCGCACCAGGCCTGCCATGCATGCCTGCCTTTCCTGCCGTAATGGACTAAACCTCTGAAATTGTAAGCCAGCCACCAATGAACGCTTTCTAGGAGTTGCCTTGATCATGGTGTCTCTTTACTACAATAGAACAATGACTAAGACAAATATTTTTATTTGTGTGTATGTGTCTATGTGGGGTCATATGCATGAATACAAGTGTTCTTGGATCCCCTGAAGCTGGAGTTATGGGTAGGTGTAAATTGCCCAACACAGGTGCTAGGAACTCATAGCCTGTGGAACAGCATCGAGGACTCAACTTTTATGTGTATGGCTGCTTTCTGAATGTATGTGCACTGCATGTATGCAGGGCCCTCCAAGGCCAGAACAAAGTCAGGTCTACTGGGATGAGAGCTGCAGTTGTTAGGGGGCCATGCAGGGTGCCGAGAATTGAACCTAGGCCCCCCAGATGTGCATGCAGGGTGCCGAGAATTGAACCTAGGCCCCCCAGATGTGCATGCAGGGTGCCGAGAATTGAACCTAGGCGCCCCAGATGTGCATGCAAGGTGCCGAGAATTGAACCTAGGCGCCCCAGATGTGCATGCAGGGTGCCGAGAATTGAACCTAGGCCCCCCAGATGTGCATGCAGGGTGCCGAGAATTGAACCTAGGCCCCCCAGATGTGCATGCAGGGTGCCGAGAATTGAACCTAGGCGCCCCAGATGTGCATGCAGGGTGCCGAGAATTGAACCTAGGCCCCCCAGATGTGCATGCAGGGTGCCGAGAATTGAACCTAGGCGCCCCAGATGTGCATGCAGGGTGCCGAGAATTGAACCTAGGCCCCCCAGATGTGCATGCAGGGTGCCGAGAATTGAACCTAGGCCCCCCAGATGTGCATGCAGGGTGCCGAGAATTGAACCTAGGCGCCCCAGATGTGCATGCAGGGTGCCGAGAATTGAACCTAGGCCCCCCAGATGTGCATGCAGGGTGCCGAGAATTGAACCTAGGCCCCCCAGATGTGCAGCTAGCACTTTTTTTCCAGGACAAGGTTTCTCTGTGTATCCTGGTTGTCGTGGAACTCGCCTGTAGACCAGGCTGGCCTCGAACTCACAGAGATCCGCCTGCCTCTGCCTCCCAAGTGCTGGGATTAAAGGCGTGCACCACCACCACTCAAGCTCACACACGCTAAAGTGTGTGCCGTGTTCTGTGTACAGCAGCAGCAATAGTGTCACAGTTTACAATTATCCACATAGCCCCTCAACACCAGCTCCACTGCACAGATGGGAACCAAGCTATGGAAGAGCTTCAAGGTCAACCAGCATCCCAGCCACCTTAAACACTCCATAGTGGCGGGCCTTAAAACCCCCTTACACTCCTCGGTGTGCTCACTGCACCCCACTTCTGACTGCTTGGAAAACAATTTTTCCACACTGGACTCTGTATTTGCCCTGGAAAACCATTCACTCCTTTCTCCTCCAACACTTCACATTATTTAGGGGTCTGTTTTCTCCATTTCCCCCTTCTATCCACCGGCTCCAAGTGTTTCTCTAACACTGGACCTGCTTCTCCCAGGTGGACAGGCTCTGGGCCTCACTCCTGCTGCAAGTGTGACTCCAAATAACCCATCTCTGGAAATCTGTCCTTTCTGGACACATGCAATCTTTAACCCAAATATTAAGCACGTGGGAGTCAGCCGTATCAGAAATGTCCACGCCTTAGATTTCAAGTCTTCCCTGGCTCACTGAAGCCAGTTTTCCTCTTTCCCAGTCCCCCACAGCACCATACCTTCCACACCCCTTCCCTGCAGGTCCACAGAAGGCACACTGGCGGGGGGGGGGGGGGGACAGCAAAAGCTGAGCAAACTCCACACAGGGACAGAGTTAGCACCCACTCCTTTATTTCCTCCCTTCTGAAAGGAGACTTCAGTTCAGCAGCTTCCTTTCCTGCCCTCCCTAAGTCCCCACCAGACAAGTGACGCACCACCTTGGGGTGGTGACAACAGGTCTCAGACACTCGCTTCCAGCTGTGCCGTGGGTCCGGTTTGTGACAGTGAGTCAGGACCCTTCCAAAAGGAGGGACCAGAGTCAGTGCTGAGCGGCCAGGGTCTTGAGACAAGAGGCTACCTTAACTTGGCTTGAGGGGAAACTGACCACAGCAAAGGTCACCTCTGTCTGAACAGAGATGCTGACATAAGCCAGCTCAGTCATCTGAAGGGGACTCTGTCCTTTGGAGGGAAGGACACAGCCACACGGATCCTGTCACACATGTCAAGGCAACACTTCACCTTCATGGCCCGTGTGGCTCAGTTGGCAGCAGACACAGCAGGCGTCTGGGTGGACAAAGGGGGATGGCAGAGACCCTAGCCACAGGGTCTCAGCAGGCTTCCAGGAGGCGAGCTCAATCCCGAGGCCGGTTGACCATGACTTCACCCAGGGCCTCCAACACCTCTCGCTTGTAGTCATCGAAGTCACCGTCGATCTGACTGACACTCTGCTCCTCCACCACCCACAACTGGCAATTGGTTTCTGTGATGAGTCGGGCATCGTGGCTAACGACGATTACAGCTTTGGAGAAAGATGATAAAGGCAGGGTAGGAGAAAGGCATCAAGCGTGGAAACGGCGAGCCCCAGGCCACGCCTCTTTGGCTGCTCCTCCTGCCCAGCACACTTACCTCCCTTGTACTCGTTGATGGCCTCCCCCAGGGCATCAATAGACTCTATGTCCAAGTTATTGGTTGGTTCATCCTGCGGAGGAGAAGAGGTCCATGGCAGAGCACCGCAGCACCTGTGTGCGGCTCTTACCTTCAAGTCTTTCCCTGCGCCCGGCCACTCACCAAGATGAGGACATCAGGCTCCCGGCAGGCCAGCTCAGCAAACACGACTCGGGCTTTCTGCCCACCTGCCACAAAAGGAGAGGTATTCAGACCCCTGTCACCTGCCTGCAGAAGACACATTCTCCTTCCAGTCTCCAGGGAGAGGCGATGAGGTCATACCAGAGAGTTTGCAGATCTGGATGGTGTGGGCGTGGCTCTCGAGGCCAAAGCGGCCCAGGCACTTCCGGGCATCCTGGTAGGGCAAGTTGAAGCTCCTCTGCAAGTACTCGGTGGGGGTCTCCTCCATGTGCAGCTGCTCTGCATACTGCTGGTTAAAGAAGCCAATTTTCTGGCACAGAGGAGAGGGAGGTGGTGAGTGTGGGCCTGCTTCCAGCCAGACTCCCACACCTCAGCCCCACAGCCGGCTTACTTACCAGTCGATGGTTCTTTCTCATTTCCCCGTTGGTCTGCAAGGAAAAAGCAGGTGTAAGAGCAGGGATGCGGGAAGGTGGTAACACCATAGCCCAGTTTTTCTTTGTTTTATTAATTATGTATACAGTGTTCTGCTGCATGCATGCCTGCAGGCCAGAAGAGGGCACCAGATGTCATTACAGGTGGTTGCGAGCCACCATGTGGTTGCTGGGAATTGAACTCAGGATCTCTGGAAGTACCAGCAGTGCTCTTAACCTCTGAGTCATCTCTCCAGCTCCTTCCTCCCTCCTCCTCTCCCCCCCCCCTCTTTTTTTTTTTTTTTTTTTTTTTGGTTTTTCGAGACAGGGTTTCTCTGTATTGTTTTGGAGGCAGTCCTGGAACTAGCTCTGTAGACCAGGCTGGCCTCAGACTAACAGAGATCCGCCTGCCTCTGCCTCCCAAGTGCTGGGATTAAAGTCGGGTGGGGTGGGGGTGGGGTGAGAGGAGGCACTACTGCAGGAGACATCCAGGTCAAGCTAGGTGGGTGGCATCAGCTTGTAATCCCAGTTACTTAAGAGGCCAAGAAAGGACAGGGATGGCAAAATTTGAGGCTATTCTGGGTAATTTAGCAAGACCTTATCTTAAACGAAAAGTAAAACCAGATGAAGGACACAGCATGTCAAAGGCCCCGGGCTCAACCTCAGTACTACAAATGACAAAAAGAACCCTACACTGTGGTATGTGCAGTATGGCACCAGGAAAAACATGACTTGTGAGCTCTAAAGGATAAATCAAAGTCCTGGGCTCCGTCTCTGCATTCTTCCCCAGCTTACACACTTGCAATCAGTCCAACAAGGACACACTGCCCTGTCATCTGGTTTAAGCTGGGCCCTCTCCTCTCCCCTTGGCTTTAGGACTCACCGGTGTCAGCTTCCCAGTCAGCAGCAGGAGAAGGGTGCTCTTCCCCACGCCGTTGGGGCCCACGATACAAACTGGAAGGAGACGGATGAGCAGTCAGAGAAGCAGCCTCAGTCTGAGACCCCTGCTCCTGCTGAGTCACCCAGGACCAACTTACTCCGTGAATCCATGTCGATCCCAAAATCCAGGTTCTTAAAGAGCGGCTTCTGCCCCTCGTAGCCAAATGTCACACCTGAGAAAAAGCAGCTACTTATAATCTCCCCAGTCACCCCGGATGCAGGGCCCCAGAGGAAAGGGTCCCCTTACTGTGCAGCCCTAGCACCGGCGGGCTGAGGGGTGGCGGGTCTGGGAAGGTGAAGCGCACGGTGTACTCCTTGGGACGCTTCAGGAGCTCAGGGGGCTCCTGAGACTCTTCGTCCTGGTTTTTCCGCCGGCACTTCTGCTGTTTGCGAGTCAGGACTTCCTTGGTTTGCTTCTCCTGGGTGAGGGAAGGAGGACGCGCTCCAGACGCCGCCCAGTCCCACGGGCTCCCCCACCCTAGCTCCACCACAAGCGTGGACACGTACGGCCTGCTTGGTGGACTTGCCCCCAGCCTTCAGCTCCTTCAGCTTCTTCTCCTGTTTCTCGTACTGCTTCATCAGATCCTTCTGCTTCTGCTGGTACATCTTCTTGAAGGTCACTGGGGGTGGAGGGGCAACCAGGGTCAGGGGAGTGGGGGAGAGCAGCCACGTATATGCCCGGGGACTGCTACTCAGACTCTGCCACCTGTCCCCAGGCCACGGAACAGCATGCTTACTATAATTGCCCCTGTAGTAATGGAGCCTCTGGGTGTCGAGGTGGATGATATCAGTGCAGACATCGTCCAGAAAGCCCTGGTCGTGGGAGACGATCAGCAGCGTCTTCTTCCAGCCCTGAAGGTAGCTGCAGTAGACAGGAGCGTGGAGTGTCACAGGGTGTGAACCACGGATGGAGATAATGGGGAGGGACGGGGAGCAGCCCACGGGAGCCAATGACACACGGGAGTCAATGACACACCACGGGCTGAGCCCAGGGAGCCAATGACACACGGGCTGAGCACACGGGAGCCAATGACACACGGGAGCCAATGACACACGGGCAGCGCACTAACTTGTTGAGCCAGATGACGGCGTTGAGGTCCAGGTGGTTAGTGGGCTCATCCAGCATCAGCAGGGTGGGCTCCATGAACAGCGCCCTGGAGAGCAGTGGAGTCAAGGTCAGGAAAGAAAGGCGTCTGCTCGCCAAACCCAGAGTCCCTGGCTGGAAAACTCAGTAGCACTTTTTATCAGGAAGGGGTCAAAAGGGAGAATGACCCAAGTTCTCGCAACACACAAGTTGGCCTCAAACCTCTTGCTACGCAGTCCCTGGAAGACAGGGAAGGGAAGAGAAACTGTCGGAGGAGAGGGAGGGCCCACCTGGCCAGGGAGACACGCATGCGCCAACCGCCAGAGAATTTCTGTGTGGGACGATTCTGCATCTCAGGATCAAAGCCCAAGCCAGCCAGGATGCGCCTCGCCTTGGCCTCTGCAGCTGCTGCCCCAGTGGCCCTCAGTTCCTCATACACCTGGGAGGAGGGAGAAGAGGACACATGTCCAAGGGTCCAAGGACCCCCAAGGCTCACCTTGTGTCCCCTGCGCCATCTCCTCTACCTTTTCCAGTTTCTCGGCAGCCGTGTCGTCCCCCTGCTCCAGCTGTCCCTGAAGCTGTCGCTCCTGCTCTAGCAACCGGAGTCGTTTGGTGTCCGCACGGAGAACAGCTTGCACTGCTGGTGTCTCATCAGCCACCACCTCTGCAGAAAGGGAGGTCAAGACGACAGTGCCGGCCCGCCCACCCGCCCGCCCTGTGCAGCACTGCATGCTGCTTCCAAATCAGGCCTTCTCCAGCCCTTAGTCCCCCTGCCCACAATTCTAGTTCCCAGCCTCACCCTGCTCACACAGCAGCACGTCAATGTTAGGGGGGATGCTCAGGGCACGGTTGGCAATGTGCTTCAGGAGTGTGGTCTTGCCTTTGCTGGAGAACACAAGCCATAAATCAGGACCCGGCCACCCAGTGCAGTCCTCCTTTCCCCCTTCAGTCCCACCTTCTCACCCATTGGGTCCCACCAGCCCGTAGCGGCGGCCTGCAACGATGTACAGGTCAGCGTTGACAAACAGCTCCTTGCCATGGGCTGAGATGCTGAACTTTTCCAACTGCAGCCGACGGAATGGATGAGCCCAGGACAAAAAACAAAAACAACAAAAACAAAAAACAAAAAAAAAAAAACAGGCACACAAAGAGGCACGTGAGAGACTTCTTTCTGCAGTGGGGCTGTCTTCCTACCCCTCTCCCCCCGAGCATGGGTCCCCCTTTTCCTTCCGGCTTTCCCGTCACCTTTCTCAAGCTGGCAGAACCCTCTCTTTCCTTAGCGCATTCACCCCTTTACACGCCTTCTGGTTTGCCAACAGCCCACATATGCAAGGTGAGGCCAGGCCTCTGCAGAAGTGATAACGGGGCAAGGGCCCCATACCCCACCTTGATGTCAGATGCGTTTTCTAACATCGCCTGGCGGGAAGACACCTCTGCTTGGGACACGGAGAAGTCATTTTCCGCAGCATTAGCTGCTTTTAATGATTCCACCTGGCGTTCATAGTCCATCTGAGAAGGAGGGAAAGGATGTCTGATGTCACAACACGGCAGCTCCATGTAGTCATGGCTGAGACACAATTCCAGCCTCCATTCAGCCGCTCAGCTTCAGCACCCTCCAAAGCTCTCCTCACACCTCGTCTTACAAACCCACAGAACCCACGCAGGCCAATGGCTGACCTGTTTCTTTAGCTTTTTCTTTTCCTTTTTGCTAAGGTGGGCATAGGGGTCGTTTGCCTTGGACGCCCCCTCTTCCTCTTCTCTCTCTTCCTTTTCACCCTGTGAGAACACACGGCAATAAACAAGCAGAAGCAACGGCACCACCAAGAACTGAGATTCTAAGAAGCTGACGCTGCTGGGTGTGGGGCGCACACCATTACTCCCAGCACTTGAGGCAGTGAGTTTTACCTCCTGGTCTATAGAGGGAGTTCCAAGACAGCTAGGACTACACAGAGAAATCTTGTCTTGAAAAGCCAAACCCAAACCCAACAACACCAAACCAAAGCTTCAAGATTCCTGCCTTACACCCAGTGGTGCAGGGAGCAGTCTTCTCTATTCAGCCTGGAGATGGCTCATGGTCCTCTCTCCTACTTATCCCAAGCCACTGATCTATATGCAGTCCTTTGTCAACCTCTGCCACCAGGAACCACTGGTAAGAAATGCCTGCAACTGAAGATGCAACTCCCCAGTGTTTGTCTCTAACATGCAAAGAACAGACGTGCAGTGCACAGCCTAGGGTTGTCATAGGCAAGACCTGAGACTGGACGTGTTTGAGGCACGGAGAGTTACATGTGTTCTCTATCACAGAGCCAGGGAACGAACGGCACAGGCAGAACCAGGACCATCAGTGCGAACTCACTCCAGGCCCTTTCCAAACCCTTCCATCTGGTGCTGCACTCCGGCCTCTGGGCCAAACCTGACCCAATGCCTGTCTTCATGTGGCCCATGGGATAAAATGGCAAGAAGATGAGACAGATACTCTGTGTAGCCCTGGCTGTCCTGGACTCACTCTATAGTCTGGGAGAGTTCTGCCTCTGCCTCCCATGTGCTGGGATTAAAGGTGTAACCCACTGTGCTGGGCGTCAGCGTCTCACTGCACAAAGTCTGTGACCCTTGCTTCGGTCAGCAGCAGGCTCCACCCCACCCTAGCAGAGTCCAAACCTGCTCTGTGTCCTTGGCTGTCTCTCTGTCCTTCCCTGGCTTGGGAGGCTCCTTTTCTTCAGCTGCTTCTTCATCATCTTCCCCTTCACTGTCTAGAGCCGCGAACTTATTCTGAGGCTAACAAGGAAAGCCAGGCCTGATGAAATGCCCACCTGGAGAGCCGCCCACCAGGAGAGCCGCTGGCTCCACCTGCAGCCCCTCTTACCTTGGCCTTTCCTTTGGACTTCTCCTCCTTACCCCGTCTGCTCTTGAGCCCGGGCTGCTGTTCCTCAGACACAGCCTGTAGGACACGAGAGATGATTGCTACTCTGCCACTTACAAGCATTTCTAGAGAGCCTGCCATGGTTCAAAAGGGCTATGGGGGTGGGAACATGAGACAGGAACGTCCCACTCAGCATGGGGTTCAACAGGTGGGTGAGAAGGCTCTGGGGAGGGGGCAGCAGGCCGGGCACAAAGTCTTCAGCCAGCACGCAGCCACACTGGATGCCAGCACAGTGTCCCAAGAGGAGGCGGCAGGCGGAGGGCCTTTGTTCCCGATGCTGAGTTTAAATCTTTAGAGTACCACATGACTGACAGACTGCCGACTTTACAGAGAAGAGCCGGGCCAGTGTGAGGAGGCACTGGGGGGTGGGGCCACCGCCTCACCTTGTTGATACGATTCTTCTCCGGCTTGGCAGGCTTGGGAGCTTGCTTTTCCTCCTCCTCGTCACTGTCACCCTGAATCAGGGCTTCAAAGGCATTCCCACCCTACAGGGGCAGGCACAGCAGTCAGTCAGTGGGGTGCTGCGACTGCCCCTAGGATCAGCTCTGCTGCCGACAGCTCACCTTGGCTTTCTTCCCTCCTCGGGGAGCTGGGGCCGGCACTGAAATGACAAGGGGAGAGGAAGTGGTCAGGAAAATTCCAGTGTTTTTGGCTCCTTCACTTCACCAACTCCAACGCCTACTCCCGCCAATATGGATGGCCAATGCCTCCTCCCCTCAGGTTGCTTTCTTTTCTCTTTGAGACAGAGCTTCTCTGTGCAACAGTCCTGGCTATCCTAACCCTGCTTTCTAGACCAGGCTGGCCTTGAACGCAAGAGATCCCCTGCCTCTGCCTCCCAAGCTTGGGGTTAAAGGCGTCCCCTCAAGAAACTCACCCTCGTCCTCATCAATGGCCGGCACAGAGAGCTTCTTAAGACGCTCCATGAGCTCCTTCTCCTCCTCCTCCCCATCGTCGTCCACATCCTTCCTCCGCCGGCCTTTGCGGGTGTCCCGCTTCTTCTTCTGCTGCTGAGACACCAGTGTGAGAGTTAGCTGAGGTCACGGGCTGCTGGGTCCATGATGCCCTGGGACTCCTAGCCCTGCACGCACACCTGCTGCTGCTGCTGCTGCTGCTGCTGCTGCTGCTGCTGCTGCTGCTCCTTCTCCTTCCGTGTCTTCTCTTCGTCCCCGGCCTGCTTATCCTCCACTGCCAGCTCCTCAAAGAACTGTAGGGTAAGACATAGGCACGCTGCTCAAAGGGCAACCAGCCACGGCAGGCCTCCTCCTCTTGCTCCTCTCGTCGTTAAAAAGTGCCAGCACTCATCTGTTTTTATTTAAGTCACCATGTCTGGCTCTCACTCATGTTCTCTCCCCACGAACTTAACTTTCAGTGTCCACTTTTATACAAAGGATGACACATGCATGCCCACAGAAGCTGAGTCCATTGATACTTCTCATCCTCCAGAGCCACAAGAAAGCAGTATTTGCTCTTTGCGATGTTTTCCACCTTGTATAGGGTTTTTCTGTGTAGCCCTGGGTGTCCTGGAACTCACTCTGTAGACCAGGTTTGCCTTGAACCCAAGAGACTCATTTGCCTGCTTCTGCCTCCTGAGTGTTAGGATTAAAGGTGTGTGTTACCATCACCACTGCCCACAACTTTTTGAGTTTTAAAAATATTAACTCATGGGGCTGGAGAGATGACTCAGTGGTTAAGAGCACTGACTGCTCTTTCAGAGGACCTGAGTTCAATTCCCAGCACCCACATGGCAGCTCACAACTGTCTGTAATCCCAGTTCCAGGGGACCAGACACCCAGGGCAAAGCACCAATGCATTTAAATAAAAACTAATAAATTAAATTTCACATGAGCCCATGTGCCTCCTGCTTCCTGAGTAATGAAACAACCCACTGACCTTCTCCTAGCAAAACCTCCCCCTCAGATTTCAAAGTTCATTTACACTGCTTGGGAATACCCATGGTCATTTCTTCCTGGACCCTCATTTTCTCACCGTCTTTTTGGTCTTCTTGTCCTTTTTGCCTTTCTTCACCACTTTTTCTGGAAGGTTAAACAGACATCACATTAGCTTATTATAAATGCCCAGTGCCCAGTGGTCCAAGCTTCCTGCAGAGCTCCAGCTGGTCCTACCATGAAGAACTAGTCTGGTCTTACAGAAACAATCACTTCTACTTTCATCCATTCATCCAAACACCTATTTCTTTAAAGCATTATTTTAGATTTTTTTTTTTCGGTTTTTCGAGACAGGGTTTCTCTGTGGCTTTGGAGGCTGTCCTGGAACTCGCTCTGTAGACCAGCCCGGTCTCGAACTCACAGAGATCCGCCTGCCTCTGCCTCCCGAGTGCTGGGATTAAAGGCGTGTGCCACCAACGCCCGGCTCTATTTTAGATTTTTTAAGTATAAGAGTGTTTTGCCTGTACGTGTGTATGTGCACTATGAGCCCACCATCCCACCTAAGGGAGTTATGATGTCATGAGCCACCATGCGGGTGTCCTCTGCAAGAGCAGCAAGTGCTTGTAACCATCCGCCATCTGTCCTGTCCCACAAACACCTAGTTAGTAAACAGACATGAGGGATGCAGGCAGCTTCCCCTAGTGCTTGTAGGCTTTGGAAGACAGCTCTTTAAAGAGAAAGGGCCTGAACTTGCCCAATGGCAAGGAAAGGCAGATCTGATGGGGAAAGGAGAGGCTGGGCTCAAGTCTAGTGCCAAGCATGGCCCCTGTGGAGGAGGCTAAGCCAGAGGAGGAGCCGTCAGGTACAGGTGAGTCACTGTGCCATGTTCAGGTCAGCTGTGAGGAGAAACACTTGGAAACAAAGACCTTCCGTGGCTGCAGCTGAAACGCAGAGGGTCAAACCGAGCAGGGTAGGGTGTGAAAGGAGGGCTGCTTAGTCAGGTAAGGAGCCACAAGCTTACTGGTATGATCTTGTGTGCCTTCAAGCCTTGCATCCCCTTCAAGCGGGCAAGGACGGGAGCAAGAATAGCGGGAAAATCTGTTGAGACTGTCACTGCACTTTCATGGCGGGAGGGGAGGAGGGGCAGAACCCACAGGTGGAGAGGAACTCAGACATGCAGTCCTTTGGGAGACAGTGGGAAAGAGTGTGGTTCCACCCACCTTGCCTTCTGCAGGGGAAGAAGACAGGCCAAGCTTATGAATGCGGTTACGGCGTGTGTGTGAAGGCTGAAGGCCACGGACAATGGCCATCTGCAAATGAACCTCACACAGGCCCATGTCCCACCCGCTGTGTTAAAACTGCAGTCTAAAGGACAGTAGTCATTTTTCCTGTGCAAGTCTTGCAGCCTAGAGAGTGACCCGAAAGACCACTTGTCTCTCAGGGAACAAAGGGAGTCAGACTGATTCCACTCCTCATTTCTGCCCAACTGTCCCTCCAGGTAGCGGTCTACACATCGCCTCCACTCTATCCAGAGGCAGAAGTGATCACATGACTTCCCTTCATGGCCAGGCCTACTACCGTGTCTTCTGAATGGCCATACTCAGAGCAGTCTGGCACTCACTCTGTGACACACAAGCACCTCTCTGCTATCTATCACTGTATTCTTTTTTTGTTTTTTTTTTGTTTTTTCTGAGACAGGGTTTCTCTGTATTGTTTTGGAGGCTGTCCTGGAACTCGCTCGGAAGTCCAGGCTGGCCTCAAACTCACAGAGATCCGCCTGCCTCTGTCTCCCGAGTGCTGACATTAAAGGCGTGCACCACCAACGCCCGGCACTGTATTCTTTAGAAATACATTTATTTTATATGTATGGGTGTTTTATCTGCGTGTGATGCTCAAGGGTGCCAGGAGACGGCATCAGATCCTGTGGACTAGAGTTACACCCAGTTGTGAGTGGGAACTGAACCACAGTCCTTTCAGAATTGCTGACTGCCAAGCCTTCAGCCCCACAGTAAGTATTCTTAGATCAGAATTCCACATGTTCCACAGTCCTTATTTATTAGGAAAGTCCTACTAAATATCTACTTTGTCAAAAAAAAAAAAAAACACAACCCTGGAGATACTAAAAGACAATCTCTCTACTTTAGAGTCTGAAAGCCTAACAGAGTAGGGAGTTGGTGGTGCACACCTTTAATCCCAGCACTCGGGAGGCAGAGGCAGGTGGATCTCTGTGAGTTCGAGGCCAGCCTGGTCTACAATAGCGAGTTCCAGGACAGCCTCCAAAGCCACAGAGAAACCCTGTCTCAAAAAACCCAAAACAAACCAAATAAACAAAAAAAGAAAACAACAACCAACCCTGCAAAACAAAACAAAACCACCTCATATTACTAAAATTAGGGGCAATTTTGTGTGGTGCTGTGACTCACACACACCCGCTGGTTACAACTGAACTACACCTCAGTCCTTTGTTTTCACCTTTTAGTTTGAGGCAGAGTCTCACTAAGGTACCCAGATTGGCCCTGAACTTGAACTTGTGATCTGTCCTGTTTCAGCCTCCCACATATTTGGAATTACAGGTCTGAGCCACTAGGCCAGACCCCCTCTCCCCTGCCCCCCCCACACAAACAAAACAAAACAACCCCCCCAAGGTTTCTCTGTGTAACAGCCCCAGCTGTCCTAGACTCTGCAGACCAGGCTGGCTTTGAACCTGAACTCATCAGATTCACTTGCTCCTGCCTCAGAGTACTAGAATTAAAGGTGTGAGCCTGACTTCACAGTTCCATTCTCTAATTCCTACTGTCTGCTAAACTGGTCTGAGGTCAGCAGGACCGAGCCGGGCCGCGTCTCTCCTCTTCCAATCCCACAGCCCTTTCCTCAAGCTGTCCTGAGCCTCGCAGCAAAAGAGAACGAGGCTGACCCGGATGTGTAATCAGGTTAACAGGCAGGCTGAGGAAGGAGGACTGGCTTCCAACCCTGTCTCAAGATGAGCAAGAGTAGAGGAGGGATCTATCTTCCCCAGCTCGAGGCCATTCTCCACTTTACAGCTGGACATGACTTCAAGGCTCAGGCTGGAGCAACACGCGTTCAAGACCATTCCTGGCTGTACACGAGCTTAAGGCCAGTCTGGGCAGTATTAGATCCTCGTATTAAAACAAAACAAACAAACAAAAAGTCTAAGCTGTGTTTATAAGGTGTAAATGAAGCAAAAGTGAATTTTATGTTTAGACTGGCATCCTATCCTCGAGCATTTATCCCATATGTGTAGCTCCTAAACACTCAGAGGTCTAACAATCTGGTCTGGAGAGCACTTCTTTTTCTTTTCTGCGGGGCTTACACAGGGGCAGAGTTTCTCTGTGTGGCCCTAGCTGTCCTGGAATTCACTCTGTAGACCAGGCTGGCTTTAAACTCAACAGATCTGCCTGCCTCTGCCTCCCAAGTGCACAGGCAAGCGCCGACACTCCCACTGGGTATCACTTTGTTTTGTTTTGTGTTTTGTTTTTCGAGACAGGGTTTCTCTGTGACTTTGGAGGCTGTCCTGGAACTACTAGCTCTTGTAGACCAGGCTGGTCTCGAACTCACAGAGATCAGCCTGTTTCCGCCTCCCGTGTGCTGGGATTAAAGGTGTGCGCCACCGCCCAGCTAGGTATCACTTCTTAACAAATACCACCCTCCCTTTTAAAAAAAAAAGATTTTTTCCTGCATGCAACATACAACGTTCTGCCTCCATGTATGCCTGCAGGCCAGAAGAGGGCACCAGATCTCATTATCAATGGTTGTGAGTCACCATGTGGTTGCTGGGATAGAACTCAGGAGCTTTGAAAGAGCAGCAGTGTTCTTAACCTCTGAGCCATCTCTCCAGCCCCCTCCCCCCTTTTTGGCCAGGAGATATTGCCGGTTTCCTCATTTGCCTCTAATTCCTCTGGCTGTTCTTGGAGCCATGCTCTCACCCTCCGTGCTGGCTAACCACCCCCTTATTGGTGAGGTTCTTGAGGGTCCCACCCATCTTTTATTTTAACGGGGTCTGCACTCTCTAGGACTGCTTCACCTGTAACACGCTCATCTATGTCCTTACTGCAGCTCCTCTCTCACTAGAGACAGCTAGCCATGTGTCTTTGTCGTCTCCTCTGAGAAACCTCCAACTCAACCTTCAAAGCACACGGGGCTGGCAAGGCGGCTCGAGAGCACAGGCGCTTGCCGCACAAGTTCAAGGAGCCAAGTTCAATCCCCAGAAGGCACACACGGGCGGGACCGCCTGCAAAGTTGTCCGCTGACACAGGTGCTGGACCCCCGGCTCAGCAGTTCGGTGCACTTGGCTGCCCAGGTTTGATTCCCAGCACTCACATGGTGGCTCACAACCAAGTGTAACTCCAGTTTCTGGGGACCCGACGCCCTCGTCCGAGGAGGCTCGCACATGGCGCACACATTTCATACACACTAAACACAGAACCCCCACCCCATCTTTGCATGTTTTCCACCTTCTCTCTTTCTTGTTAACAACTTTATTTTCAGGGGGCAGGGGGCGGCCCACACCTTTGACCGCAGCACTTCGGAGGGCAGAAGCAGGGGATTTCTGTGAGTTCAGGGCCAGCATGGTCTAGAGTAAATTCCAGGACAGCCAGGGACACACAGAGAAACCTTGTGTCAAAATAAACAAACAACAACAACAACAAAACAGAGCAAAAAACAAAACAACAAAAAAAATATTTCCAGGTCTGAAGAGATGGCTCAGCAGTTAAGAGTAAGAGGACCTGGATTCAATTCAACAACTCTCTTTAACACCAGGTCCAGGGGACCCAATGCCCTCTCTGGTACAGGGCAAAGGCAAAGTAAACATTCACATAAAATGATTTCCTCCCCACCAGCTAGACATGGTGGTTCAAATTTAATCCCAGCATTCAAGAGGCAGAGGCACATGGATCTCTATGAGTTCCAACCAGCCTGGTCTACAAAGTTAGACTATATATAGTGAGATCCTGCCTAAATAAATAAATAAGTACAAAAAAAAAACCTCTTAGCCGGGCGTTGGTGGCGCACGCCTTTAATCCCAGCACTCGGGAGGCAGAGGCAGGCGGATCTCTGTGAGTTCGAGGCCAGCTTGGTCTACAGAGTGAGTTCCAGAACAGCCACAGAGAAACCCTGTCTCGAAAAACCAAAAAAAAAAAAAAAAAAAAAAAAAAAAACCAAAAAAAAAAACCGCTTTAATTTCAAGCACTACTATCAGCCATAGTGTATTAGCTACTCTTTAGCGGCATCTTGATTAACAGAGAGGAATTCTCCAGTCTTTACCCTTTATCTCTGGGTGTGCTCCAGGCCACCCGGACAGTGACACTCGGGTCTCAGCTGCTTCCTTGCCCCTTCTCACAGAGATCACTGCCAGAGTCCCGGGTCTACCTTCACCGATGCCACCCTCCCCTTTCAGTTTCCACACTAAACCGATCATAACGAGATTCAGGCCGGCTTTGGCTACTTAAGATTTTGTCTCAGCCGGGCGTTGGTGGCACACACACGCCTTTAATCCCAGCACTCCGGAGGCAGAGGCAGGCGGATCTCTGTGAGTTCGAGGCCAGCCTGGTCTACCGAGCGAGTTCCAGGACAGCCTCCAAAACAATACAGAGAAACCCTGACTCGAAAAAACAAACAAACAAACAAAAAAAAGATTTTGTCTCAACTAAGTCGGGCGGTGGTGGCGCACGCCTTCGATCCCAGCACTTGGGAGGCAGAGAGGCGGGCGGATTTTAGAGGGCAACCTGGCCTGCAGAGTGAGGTTCCAGGACAGCCAGGGCTATGTAGAGAGACCCTTGCGTTTAACAAACAAACAAAAGTTGATTCCAACTACAACAAATCAAAGGCGTCTGTTCCATCGAGCCTCATAATTGTTCCCTTCATCCCACTGGAGCCTCTTAAGTAAGAGTTCTTATTCCCAGCCGGGCGGTGGTGGTGCAGCCTTTAATCCCAGCACTCGGGAGGCAGAGGCAGGCGGATCTCTGTGAGTTCGAGGCCAGCCTGGTCTACAGAGGGAGTTCCAGGACAGCCTCCAAAGCTACAGAGAAACCCTGTCTCGAAAATACCAAGAAAAAAAAAAGAGTTCTTATTCCCTTCATCCCACGCCCACGGCGCGATGGGGGCCCCGGTCCTGCTAAAGTCAGCGCTGACAGGGACCCCACCCACCCACCCAATCCATCCTGACGCAGAGTTAACGCTCGGGGCAGCCAGCGGAGGGGGGGGGTGGTCCCCTCTGGGAGACGAGGCGGGGGGGTGGTGACTAGGGGCTCCCGGGCGGCGTGGGGATGCGGCGGGGGATCGCGGCAGGGCTCGTGCCGTGCTCGCCCGTACCGCGCGGCAGCGGAGATGACAGCAGATCTCCTAGCTCCGGTCGGCCCGTCCCTCCCTCGGAGCCATATGCTCGTCCCCGGTCTCCGGTCGGCCGCCCGGAGCTCTGGCGCGCGGACCTCTGCCCGGACGCACGCGGCGCGGGACCCACGTCCCACGGCGGCCGCCGTCCACCCCACCCCACGCCCGCCCGCACCTCCCCGCTCACCCTCGGGGCTCGTGTCCTCGCCTGACCCGAACCACTTGGGCTCGAGTGGCTGCTGCTTGGGACCTTTCGGCATCGCGGCGGCAGTTGCGAGTCCTCCGGGGCCCTCTGGCGCTGTTTCCGCTTCCGGCGGCGTGGGGCCGCCAGCGGGCCGGCTCTTCACTAGACGCCCCGCCCCGCCCCGCCTCTCTCCGCCCCGCCCCGCCCCCGAGTGCGCCAGGCCTTTGGGCGAGGGGGCGTGGCGGTACCGCAGCCCTGGGGGCGTGGCCTGGGAAAGACACGCGCTCGCCTGGAGCCGGCGAGCTGGCGGGCGGGTAGCGCGTTATGACGGTCCCCACGCTGGTGTGGCGACGCGGTGACACCCAGGGAGCGACATAATTTCTAAGTGGAAGGAAGTGCTTGAGGCAGCTTTTATCTCACTGTGTCACCTAAAGCCGGTCTGGAATTCGCTGTGTAGCCCGGGAGGCCTCCAATCGGACCCAGAGATCAGTCTGTCTTTGGGGCATGTGTTGTTGTCACATCCTGCTCTGAATCTTTTTGTTGTTGTTGAGACAGGGTCTCACTATGTAGTACTTGGCTGGCCTGGGACTCCTAGAGTTCTGCTTGCCTGTGCTGGGATTACAGGTCTGCACTATTATGCCCGACCGGTCACTTTATTAAAACAGTACACCTCTCCAACCATTCCCACTGCTTTGTAACTTCTTTGTCTTCTCGAGACAAAGATTTTCTATGTAACAGTCTTGGAACTCCCTTTGTAGACCAGGCTGGCCTCGAACTGACATCTGCCTGCCTCTGCCTCCCGGGTGCTGGGATTAAAGGTGGGAGCCACCACTGCCAGGCTGGAGTTTTTGGGGTGTAGATGTGCGATAATTTCGCTGTAATTGGCCCACTGCAATTGCAAGTACAATAAAACGGCAAGCCGCGGGTTGGTTGGTGGCGCTCACCTTCAATCCCAGCACTTGTGAGGCAGAGGCAGGCAGATCTCTTGTGAGTTCGAGGTCAGCCTGGTCTACAAGAGCGAGTTCCAGGACAGCCTCCAAAACAATACAGCGAACCCTGTCTCAAAAACCAAAATAAAAAAACATAAAAAAAATAGAACGGCGAGCAAGGAACATTTGACAAGTGCTGATAAACATACACCTTTTGGGGAAGGGGGTGAGGAAGAGGATTTTGGACAGGGTTTCTCTGTGTAGCCCTGGCTGTCCTGGAAATGGCTCTGTAGACCAGGTTGGTCTTGAACTCAGAGACCCGCCTGCCTCTGCTTCCTGCAAAGCACATGCCTTTTAAACCACAATCAAGATATGGCTGACTTCTAATGAATGACAGAAGCCTAGAAGCTTGAGTGAGGCATTTCTACAACTGGGTCAGCTCGTCCTTAGTCATGCTTTTCTCTTTTTATTTAGATAGTTCAGGCTTGCCTCAAGTCCACTAAGTGGCCCAAGAGGACATTGAATCCCCCACCTTGTCTCTGCCTCCCTCCTGAGAATTTCAACCACACACCTGTGTTGATATGCCTGGTTTTTACGTTTTTTTTTTTTTTTTTGTTTTTCGAGTCAGGGTTTCTCTGTATTGTTTTGGAGGCTGTCCTGGAACTTGCTCTGTAGACCAGGCTGGTCTCGAACTCACAGAGATCCGCCTGCCTCTGCCTCCGTAGTGCTGGGAGTAAAGGCGTGAGCCAATGCTCTTTGTCCTACTCTCCTAGCACCTCTGGCAGTTGTCACTTTCCTTCCGTTTCGCCAGACACTTTTTCCTAGCGGATCCTTGTCCCTCCTTTGCTGGCCTCTGCCCCTGAGCTTCCAAGCTTAATCTTTTGACAGCCCTTTAAAAAAAATTAAAAACCACTCGTATGTGTTTTGCCTGCATGTGCGCATGGAGTACATGCCTGGTGCTCAGGCCGGATGAGGGTGTCAGTCCCCCACAAGTGGTGTGGGCTCTGGGCACCAAATTCAGGCTCTAACTGCAGAACTATCTTTGCCAGCCCCAAAGGCTTTCCTTTTGATTGTCCCAAACGTCACTTTCTCCAACGCCGCTATCCAAACCCGTGCCACCATCCCCACGGCGTCATTTCGGTAACTTAGATCTTCATGGGGCCGGAGACAAGGCTCAGCGTTTAAGAGCAAGTTCCCTCACCCTGGTTTGAACCCCAGCACCCACATGGGGGCTCACAGCTGTCTGTAACCCTAGTCCCAGGGGATCTGATGTGTTCTTCCCATCTCCATGGGCACCAGGCACATACATACACGCAGGCCAAGTATTTATACTCATAAAACAATATGTTTAAAAATATTTTTAAAAACCTCCATTTCTGAGTCTGTTCCCCAACATGAAGACAGGCATGTCCAAGCTCTCAACAAGAAGACATTGCTATCTACAAAGTGCACGTGGAGATCCCTCCTCCTCCTGCGCCTCCTTCAGAACTCAACCCCTTGTGACTACCGCAAGTGTTCCCCTAACCCTTTCCAGAGCGCAACTGTACTGCTGGCTCCGATGAACTGAGTGCTGAAGTGCAGCCTCACCTGCACTTCAGTGAGGACTGCCACACAGACACAAAAAGACACCGGTTTCCACTGTTTATTACTAATATAAAAAATTAAAAAAACAAAACAAACAACAACACCTCTCACTCCTCTTGCCCACACACCTCCTGACCTCCCTTAGGGCCAGCTCAAAACCCAACGTGCTCACTGCCGTTTTCACAGAAAACGCCCAGTGCCAGGGCTGTGAGAGAAGAGGGTCAGAGGTGTCCACCCAAAGACAGGACGAGGCCAGGTGGAGTCACAGAACTCAAGTCAAAGGAAAGGGCCGGTGGCCTCACGATAGGGCCTAACTAAAACGAGTCAGGCAGGAGCCGAGTGGTGAGTCCTGCCTGCGGCTTCACAAGGTATCACTGGCCTGTGTCAGACCCAGAATGACGGACACCAGGAGGGAGGGCAGGACGGGGAGGCAGTCTGAGGAGTCTCCCGTTCTCCCATGCTGGGAGGTGGGTGAAGTCTAGAGGGCACCAAGAGCCTTGCTCAATTTGGCAGAAAAACTTATCTGGAGTTGGGAAGTCACAAAAATGTCACGGACACCGAGGAAGGCTATGAGGGGACGCACAGTTTCACAAAGCACAGTGACCACAGGCCTTAGCGGTGGGGCTCATGCTACTCACAAGAAACTAGGACGTCCAAAAGCAGGGGGAGGCTGTTGGGGGAGCAAGCCTGTTCCAGTCACTCAAACCTGACCCCACGGCCAGACAACCTGGTGTGTCTCCTGTGCAGTCAAACACCAGGGCTTCACATCCAAGGACTTCAAACAAGCAGTCGAGGACATAAGACTGCGCCGGGGGAGGGGGTCTCGGGAACTGGGGGGCAATACTGGGGGGGGGGGGGCAGGTGCGCAGATGCACAAGCAACAGCACCAAAGGTCTCCTGTCTGGCAGTCGTTTGGCAGAGGGGAAGATCCAGGGGGCAGTGGAAGGGAGCAAGATGGGGTCCCGATGGCCTCTGGAGCCTGGATCAGAAGACCGCACGCACCGCACACCAGTGACAGCCACAACTCTGGACCCCTGACCGGGGAGATGATGAGTGGGGTGGACATGTCACCGACTGAAGGTGACAGAAGAGCCTTGAGTAGCTATAATGGGGCCACCAGGTCGGAGGGCTCCGTCCAGCCTGGGTGGGAAGGCACAGTCTCACAGAGGAGGTCCGTTGACCCCCGGATGGTAGAAGGCACACAGGTCTTCGTAGCGACAGTGGCCCTTTTTGGAAAAGTGTCGGCAGACAGGGCGGTCAGACTTGTCTGTGAACAGGTGAGAAGGACAGCTTAGACCCCAGCAAGAGCTGGGCGGGGTGGCTCAGCACGCTGGAGGTGCAGACAGGAAGCCTCACAAGTCTGAGGCCAACCTGTCCTCCCCTCACCACACACACACAAAACAACAGCTTCTCCTCCCCTACCCATCCCCCAAAAAATCCCAAGAAAGAACATGAAACAGAGTGAGCCAATGTTTCTACCACACATTGTTTCACAAGTATTCCGCTTCTTTCTGTTTTTGGTGACAGGGGTGGAACACAAAGCCTTGGGCATGCCACAGCGAACTTGCTCAACCACCGAGCAAGACTCCCAGACCACCTAGTGTTTTGGAAAGACTTTCTTTTTTTAAATTTTTTTTTTTCGAGACAGGGTTTCTCTGTGGCTTTGGAGGCTGTCCTGGAACTCGCTTGGTAGTCCAGGCTGGTCTCGAACTCACAGAGATCCACCTGCCTCTGCCTCCCGAGTGCTGGGAAATTTTATTTATTTATTATACTGTCTTCTGCTTGTGGGCCAGCAGGGGGCACCAGATCTCACTCAAGGTGGTTGTGAGCCACCATGTGGTTGCTGGGAATTGAACTCAGGACCTTTGGAAGAACAGTCAGTGCCCTTAACCCCTGAGCCATCTCTCCATCCCCGAAAGACTTTCTTTCTAAGGGAAGAAAGATGTTCAGGATCTACATGTATCCGCCAGCTAAGAGGCTGGCAGCTCAGTGGTGGAGGAGGTCCTTAAACGCATTAATTCCCAGTGCCGCTCAGGGACAGCCCAAAGAAGAGGCCAGGGTGAGCATGCTGGCATTCAGGAAAAGGCAGAGGCAGAACAGGGCCGGCCTTACCTTCCATCATGTGGGGGCCGTCCCTGGGTGGGTAGATGTTCTTGGCAAGAGACCAGCTTTTGAGCCTTCGTGGATTTCTTGGCTCTGTGTGAAAGCTTTCCCTAAAGGGACCCCCATGGCCTGGCCCAGGAAAAGGAGGTTCAGTATTGATGCCCCACCAACCACGACCATATGGACTACATCTAGGACGGAGGCCTCCTCGAATAGGGCCTCTGCCCCGGGGAGGAGGTGGGAGGCTCAGCAGCGGTGGAATCATTGGTCCCCTTGATCCTGGAGGGCCCCTGTGAAGAGCTACAGAGAAAGACAGGAAGGGTGACTGCTGGGCAGCTAACCCCTGCCCAAAGACCCTCCCCCACTCGTGGCAGCAAAGCATCCTGACACATCCCTTGAGGGCACAAGTCAACTATCACATCTTTACCTGGGCTCCCGTCACCAGGACCCCATGTAGCTAGAAAATTACTGAGCTAAATCCCCAGCCTGACTTCTAACCTGACATAGCCGTGCATCTCTGCCTGGCTTTGAACTCTGGCTTCCTTCATGAATCATGAGATTCATCCAGGTTTGTCTGGAGTGGTAGTTTATTAACTTTCTTTGCAGTGTAGTATTCTATCATATGCATCCTCTCTCTGATGATAGATATGTGGGAATACAGTGTGTGGCTTTTTTTGTTTTTCGAGATGGGTTTCTCTGTGGCTTTGGAGTTCTGGAACTCGCTCTGTAGATCAGGTTCATCTCCAACTCACAGAGATCAGCTTGCCTCTGCCTCCTGAGTGCTTGGATTAAAGGTGTGGGCCACCACAGCCTGCTGAGATTTCCGATCTCAGACACAGCAAAGGAACCTCTTTTTTTTTTTTTGCCAGGCATTGGTGGTCCACACCTTTAATCCTAGCACTCGTGAAGCAGAGGCAGATAGATCTCTGTGAGTTCGAGGCCAGCCTGGTCTACGAGAACGAGTTCCAGGAGGACAGCCTCCAAAACAATACAGAGAAACCCTGTCTCCAAAAAAACAAAAACAAAAGATCCTTTGTTTGTTTGTTTGTTTGTTTGTTTCCGAGACAGGGTTGCTCTGTGTAACAGCTCTGGCTGTCCTGGAACTCGATCTGTAGACCAGGTTGACCTCAGACTCACAGAGATCTGCTTGCCTCTGCCTTCCAAGTGCTGGGATTAAAGGCGAGTGCCACCAATGCCTGGCCAAAAAATAAATAAATAAATAAAAGAGGTTTCTTTACTGTGTCTGAGATCGGAAATCTCAGCAGGCTGTGGTGGCACACACCTTTAATCCAAGCACTCAGGAGGCAGAGGCAAGCTGATCTCTGTGAGTTGGAGACGAACCTGGTCTACAAGAGCTAGTTCCAGAACTCAAAGCCCAGATCAACTATTTTTTTCTAGACAGGGTTTTCCGGTGTGGCTCTGGTTGGAACTCTGGAGACCAGGCTGGCCTTGAACTCAGAGATCCTCTTGCCTCTAACTCCAAATCCGCTACTTTTAAGTATATGGTTCACGTGCAGTGAAAGATTTGTTTGAACAAGCCCTTTCCTCATATTTCCAAAAGCCCCAGGAGTCCATTTTCTGTTGTTTCTATGAATTTGACTGTAGATAACTCATGTACTTTCTTAGAACAGTGTGCTCAAGATTCACCCATGCTACGGCACTAACATTTTCTTCCTTTGTAAGATGAAACAATATCCCATTGAATCCATACATTTTGTTAGCTTGATGGCAGCCTGGGCTACCTAGCAACTGTCACAAAAATTCCAACCCCCATGCTTTCAATTCTTAAATATAAATCTCAAAGCGGAACTGCTGCCTTCTGTGACAAAAAAAATAGTTACCTATTTTTACTTTTTTTTGGGGGGGAGGGGTTCAAGACAGGATTTCTCTGTGGCTTTGGAGGCTGTCCTGGAACTAGCTCTTGTAGACCAGGCTGGCCTCTAACTCACAGAGATCCACCTGCCTCTGTCTCCCAAGTGCTGGGATTAAAGGTTTGTGCTATCCGGGCCTTGGTGGCTGCACACCTTTAATCCCAGCACTCGGAAGGCAGAGGCAGGTGGATGTTTATGAGTTGGAGGCTGGGCTGGACCAATAGCCTCCAAAACAATACAGAGAAACCCTGTCTTGTAAAAACCAAAAAAAAAAAAAAAAAAAAAAAAGGTATCCAATTGAGGTGCCATCACTTGCTGCTGACGGAGTCCCTTCTTTGGTTTCATCTTTACACGTTCATAAATGTTCATATATTCACAAACCCGATTCCACTCAGACAGGATCTAATGATGTATCCCAGGCTAGCTGGTCTTGATTTGCTAAGTAGGAGAGGCTGGCCAGGAGCTCCTGATCCTCCTGCCTCTGTCTCTCAAGCATTACAAACTTAACTGAGATCATTCTGCGAAAACCACAAAGGCCATAGCTACTGTAGTTTACACCAGATCTGCCTCTGTGGAACACCTTGGTAGTGTCCCACTGAGAGCCTCTATGCTTCCCTACGAGGGAGAATGCCATCTCTACACAAAACAACGGAACAGGGACAGACTGTCAAAGCCTCAGACCTAGGAGCCGATCTGGAAGGAAGCCACCGTTATTTCCAAATGGTTAACACGCCGACTTAGGTTAAAACACAACCTCTGTTTTAAAAGTCTGTCATGGCCGGGCTTTGGTGGCGCACGCCTTTAATCCCAGCACTCGGGAGGCAGAGGCAGGCGGATCTCTGTGAGTTCGATGCCAGCCTGGTCTACAAGAGCTAGTTCCAGGACAGCCTTCAAAACCACAGAGAAACCCTGTCTCGAAAAAACCAAAAAAAAAAAAAAAAAAAAAAAAAAAAGTCTGTCATGGGTTTTTCTCCAACCCTTCTCCTCACCTGACTTGGGATCGCCAGGCTTTCCGTTAGCCATGGGGGGAGGGCCCAGAAGGCTGGGTGGTCCTAAGAGCAGACGTGAAAACAGTCATCAGAAGCGTGCAAAAGGACGGGTCATCTCTTTCTTATGCTGTCTCTAGTCATCTTTCTTTTTTTTTTTTTAAACCAGTGAAGTCAGATATATCCACTCAGCAGTGCCGCAACCGCTCACCCCGTCCCTCTGCAGAGTTGTTCGAGACTGAGCAAAACAGTGGAGATTCCATCAGAGAGAGTAACAAGACGTCTCTTTTAACAGCTCTCGCCTCACAGCGCTGCATCCACAACATGCCCAGTGATGATTTCCACACACCCCAACCCCTCACCTTCACTGTTGGCCCATCATATTTTTTTTTCTTCTCTCCTTCCCTCGGGGGAGTAGGTTCACAGAAGGCTGCACTTTCACCTAACCAGTGGAAGTGTGGTCACAAATTGTCTTCCCGTTCATCACAACCTGTAACATCGCTGCCGCCCCTCTCCCCCCCAATTCTGCGGCTGCGCAAGCCAGCCAACTGCTCAGCCGCCACCTCCCCTGCCTTCTCCAGAAGGGGTTAGGAGCCAGGCTGAGGTCGAGGGTTCAAGCAAGCCAACTCCTCATTCAAGCTTCCACCGGCAGCCCCCCGGCCCCACCCCAGGCCCCCTTCCACGCGTGCGCCCTTCCTCCTTCCGTCAGAGCCCCCACCACCGGCACCGCGATGCTCGCCCAGCCCCTGGCCCGCTGACAGGCGTTTGCACGCCGTCCCCCTCACCAATGGGACTCTCATCCTCCTCGTCTCCGGGCTCGTCCCGGTCCCACAGTGCGGGCTGTTGTTGTGGCGGCGGCGGCGGCTGTTGCTGCTGCTGCTGCTGATTCTGCTTCTTTCGTTTCGGCATCGCGGCTGCGGCAATGGCTGCAGCAGACTTTGGAGGGCAGTGAGGCAGGGGCACACGACTAGCTCCGTTTCCGCTTCCGGGTGGGCGGTGGGGCTGGGAAACTCGAGCTTTCGCCCCGCCCGGCAGGTTGTGGGTACGGGGGGGGGCTAAGGGGGTCCCCGCTCGCCCCGCCGCTCACGAGGAGGCTCTGCTCGCTTGCTCGCCCAAATCGTCGTCTCCTCCCCACGTGGGAGAGCACATCCCCCCCGCCGCCGCGGGACAGTGACGCACACATCTGGCAGACTTGGGGGGGCGAGGAGCCCGGCGCACCCTGAGGTCGCCACATCCGGTCCCCCGGGTCACCATGGCAACGCCCGCAGCCGCCACTCGGCGCTCTCTGACCTCTCTTCCCTAAGTCCTGGCCCCGCTGGCGTTCTGCGCTCGCCCGGGCGGCCGGTGAGCCCGCCCCGCAGCATCCTCCTCCTCATCCTCCTCCCCCTCGCCGAGTGCACACGCCACAGGCGGGTGGTGGGGCGGGGGAACCAGGGAGGTGGCAGCCAGCGCAGCCGCGCAGCTTCGGCTCCCATGCCGGGCGCCATCCCCGGCGGCTGCCTCGCGGCGGGGCGTGTCCTCGCCCAGGCTCCGCCTTCTCCACGCCCTCGGCCCCGCCCCAGCCAGGGGCGTGGCTGGCGGGCGGTGATAACACTGGCTCTCCGGCTCTCTGTCGGCGCCAGTTGGCAGCGACCGCGACAGAGTCGGGTCGGAGCCTCTCTCTCGCGCCTCCTGCGCGCCGCACCGCACCGCGCAGCGCAGCGCACCCCGGAGCCGAGGCAGGCGCTCTCGTGCCCTTCGCTCGCATCCCGGCCACCCCGTTCCCTGTGCGCCCGCCCTCCGGCCCGTGACGTCACCGCGGCCCCGCCTTCCAAGGGCCCCGGGCCACCAGCGGGGGCTGCCCGGGGGAGTCAGTTGCGGCGTCGGCGGCGGCAGTAGCAGCGGCGGAGAGCTCGGCAGAGTGCGGGCCAGAGCTCCGTGAACCATGCCGAGAAAGAAGCCTTTCAGCGTGAAGCAGAAGAAGAAGCAGCTGCAGGACAAGCGGGAGCGGAAGCGAGGTCAGAGAGGGGGCGGGGCCGCTGCGCAGCCCGGGAGGAGGGGTGTGCCGCCGCCGCCGCGCCGGGAGGCGTAGGGGTAGAGGTGCGGTGTGTGCGTGTGTGTGTGGGGTGGACGGGGTGAACGGGCTCTCGCGATCCCGCGTGGGCTTCCCCGGTAGGGGGATCCCCGCAGCGGCGCGGGGGTGTGCGGAGGACGCTGGGGGAGGGGAAGCCATGCCGCCACCGGGCGCCGTGACGACCTCCCAGGCCCGCCCGGGAGGCAGGGAGGGAGCTGGGGGCGCTGGAGCGGGCGAGCGCGCGCGCGGCGGGGAGGATGGAGCCTCCGGAGAAGTTGGGGCGGCTGCAGAGCAGCCAGCTTGTCCTGCCGGCTCCGGGGCAGGGTGGCGGGGGTGCTTTAGGTATCCCGAGAACCGATCTCCTCAACACTGTCGTCACCGTGTCCGTTCCCTCAGGGCTTCAAGATGGGCTTCGCTCCAGTTCCAACAGCCGCAGCGGGAGCCGGGAGCGGCGGGAGGATCAGACCGACACCTCGGATGGGGAATCCGTGACCCAACAAATCCGCAGGCTCAACCAGCAGCCTGCCCAGGGGCAGGGGCCCAAAGGCTACGATCCCAACCGGTGAGCCAAGGGGGAGGGCGCCGGCCCCGCGCTTCCTGGGGGAAAGCTGGGTTGAAAATGGAGCTATCGAGGCCCGAAGCCGCCACGGCGGGTTTCTCTTCGGGATGGGTCACAGTCTTGCTTTGCAGAGGGGCTGTCAGGAGTTTGTTTTCAGGGGCAGAGGGGCCACCGAGGGGGAGACCTGAACAGCCAGGGGAGGGGAGCCTTGCAGAGCTGCCTGCTTTGGGGCGGAGGGGACCTTGATTGTGGTCACCGGACTCCACTAAGTGGTCTGTCTTCCCTTAGATACCGGCTGCATTTCGAACGGGACAGCCGGGAGGAGGTAGAGAGGAGGAAGAAGGCGGCCAGAGAACAAGTGTTGCAGCCTGTTAGTGCCGAATTGCTGGAGCTAGATATCCGGGATGTCTATCAGCCCGGCTCAGGTGAGTGAGGGCTGCCTGGTGTCTGCCGTCAGCCAGGGGGACTAGCTGGGTGAGAGGAAAGGGGGGGGATCGGAGATGCATGATTGAGTTTGAAAACAAGGCCTAGCAGGGAGGGGTCCCCTGGTGGCACAGGCCTTTAATCCCCCCAGCAGAGGCAGGTGGATCTCAGGGAGGGGTCCCCTGGTGGCACAGGCCTTTAATCCCCCCAGCAGAGGCAGGTGGATCTCAGGGAGGGGTCCCCTGGTGGCACAGGCCTTTAATCCCCCCAGCAGAGGCAGGTGGATCTCTGAGTTCAAGGCCAGCCTGGATTACAGAGAGTTCCACAACAGTCAGGGTTACACGGAGAAAACCTAACTTGAAAAATCTAGGTGAGATTTTTTTAAAAAGCCTGTGCTGCTTTGACACACACCTTTAATCCCAGAGGCAGGCGGATCTCTTGAGTTTGGAGGCCAGCCTGGTCTACAGAGCGAGTTCCAGGACAGCCGAGACTGTTATGTAGAGAAACCCTGCCAAAAAAAGAAAAGAGTCCTTATGCTTGTCCCGATTTTTTCCCCTCATTTCCCAGTCCTGGACTTTCCCCGCCGTCCTCCTTGGAACTATCAGATGTCCAAAGAGCAGCTAATGAGCCAAGAGGAGCGTAGCTTCCAGGAGTACCTTGGGAAGATACATGGGGCCTACCCATCGGAGAAACTGAGCTACTTTGAGCACAATCTGGAGGTGACTGGAGTGGGGGCAGGAGTGGGCATGTTGCATGTGGTCCTTTATAATATAAGGCTCTGGGCTCGGGCAGGGGAAGGACTCCAGGCCAAACTCCCTTCTGATGTTTGCAGACATGGAGGCAGCTGTGGCGGGTATTAGAGATGTCTGACATCGTCCTGCTCATCACTGACATCCGACATCCGGTAAGTGCTCAAAGGTCTGGAGGGGAGGTTTTGGGGGGTTGGGGGGCAACGGCATGAGTGGGGGTTGGATGGGTCGGTATAACACCTGAGTGTGTGTCCAGGTGCTCGCCATTCCACTTCTAGAATGTATGCTTGGAATGGTGAAACCAGAGGTCCACCTTGGATGTGTGTTCCTCAGACGGAGCCACCTTATTTTGTGGGGTGGGATGTCCCGTTGGCCTGGAGCTCACCAGACAGCCCCAGGGATCCTCCTCTCCCGGCGCTGGGGTCCTAGCAGGCAGCGTTCTTCCTTTCCCTTTCCTTTTCATAGCTTGGGTTACAGTCTTTAGTTAGAAGTTCTCTTTGTCTCCTTTCGGTTTGTTTTGCTCTGCTGGGGGTGAAACCCTGGGTCTTGCTTGTGCTAGCCTGAGCTTTGCCACCGAGCTGTGCCCCAGCTTGAGAAATTGGGTGTTCATCCCTCTCTTGTCACAGCCTGCTGGCCAGCTCACACACACACACACACACACACACACACACACACACACACACACACACACACACACACACAGGCACCCCGTTTTCCAAGTCTTCCAGAGCTAGATAACACAAGCTACACAGTATGTGCACATAGAAGCAGATGCCACTCATCAGGTCCCATTCGTGTTCCTGACCCAGCGGTTACTCCATGTGCCCGGTCTTAGCGTATTTTCTGTTGGTCTCCCTCTCATCGTGGCCTGCAGGAAGCGCCCTGAGACTTGCCTGGGCTGTGGCTAACACCTGCTTTGCCTTACGTGTTTGGTGTGGCTGGTTCACTGTGTTTACTTGAGACAGGGCCCTGGCGTTATTGCTGCTGTGCCCGGTGATGGGGAAGTGGAGCCTGCCACCTCTGGGTTCACCTTCGCCTCTCTGTCCCTTTACCAATTCTGCCGCAGGTTGTGAACTTTCCGCCAGCACTTTATGATTATGTAACTGGAGAGCTTGGGCTGGCCCTGGTGCTGGTCTTGAACAAGGTGGATCTGGCTCCGCCGGCCCTTGTGGTAGCCTGGAAGCATTACTTTCACCAGCACTACCCGCAGCTCCACATCGTCCTGTTCAGCTCTTTCCCTCGGGACACTAGAACTCCACAGGAGCCTGGCGGTGGTGAGTGGGCTGTGGAGAGGGGGCCGCGGGTGGGGTGAGTGAGGGGGCCGCGGGTGGGGTGAGTGAGGGGGCCGCGGGTGGGGTGAGTGAGGGGGCCGCGGGTGGGGTGAGTGAGGGGGCCGCGGGTGGGGTGAGTGAGGGGGCCGCGGGTGGGGTGAGTGAGGGGGCCGCGGGTGGGGTGAGCAGGACAAGCCAGTGAACAGAGAAGCTTGTTAGCAAAGGAGCATGATTTGTGGCAGAAGAGATGAGATGCATCTTCACCCTCTTACCTCTCAGTGTTGAAGAATCGAAGGCGGGGGAGAGGATGGTCTCGGGCGATGGGACCAGAGCAATTGCTAAAAGCCTGCGAAGCCATCACTGCGGGGAAAGGTAGGTCGCCTTGGAGGGGGCTGTGGAAGAGCTGGGGGGCAGCTGAGGGGTTCGCTTCTCGACGTCCCTCCGTTACACATGTTCCGGAAGGTCGTGGAGTAAGGAGCAACCCTGATGGTGGGAGGGACAGGGCAGGAGGTGGCCAGGAAACCTCCATGACTTGACGCCCGAGTCTTAGCTGCTCTGATGGAGAGTGGGGTCCAGTGCAGTCTGCTCTAGCACACGTGCGCACGCTGTGGTTTCCAGGCATGCTGGTGACGTCAGCTGCGCGTTTCCCACAGTGGCCTGGGGTGAGGGAAACTCCCCTCATCACCATCTTCTTCTCTGAGCAGTGGACTTGAGCAGCTGGCGTGAGAAGATTGCTAGGGACGTGGCTGGGGCCTCCTGCGGTAACGGCTCTGGCGAGGAGGAGGACGAGGAAGATGGGCCAGCAGTCCTGGTAGAGCAGCAGACTGACTCAGCGATGGAGCCCACGGGCCCCTCCAAGGAGCGCTACAAGGACGGAGTGGTGACCATAGGCTGTGTGGGTAAGCACGCGGTAGCCTGCCATAGTGGCCTCCTGGGCTCTGTTGCAGTGTTTCTGGAGGAGGGAGGAGGGTGCTGGGCCTATGACTGCAGGTTCTTCAAGGGAAGAACCCTGCTGTGGGTCCTGGGGGGACTGAAGGACACCTACTGCACTGCGCTTAAGTGCTGTCTCTGCCACAC